CTTAAATTTATCAATATTTTATAGTTTCGATATTTTCATTGCGAAAAATTCTAAATTATTAACATTGCTTAAGACGAGTTCACATAAGATCGTGATGATGTTCAAAACTAATCCCAAATTTACACAAATTTAATAAACTAAATGGGTACTAACGATTTTACATCTTTTCGATTCACCATATAATTTAAAATGTGAATGTAAACCTATATAACAACATTCTTTTACTGCTCCAATTATATTTTTTGTGACTGTTTCCTATGAACGTCTTTTTATTTATTTCATTACTTCTAATGACTGTCACAGTAACATTGCTGATTAGGTTTTCCTTTACGTTTTAATTATGTAGGCATTCTGTTTTGTCTACCATTAGTTGACAGACAGTAATAAGAAGATTTAGTATCTTCAAATTGCGGTTGTAAATATTAAAATATACTGTTTGACATAGAAATTGCATCATCCAATAATTGTAATTTGTGTTAATTCATGACTAACAATGGAATACATTTTTAAAAAAATTTATTGCACTCTTTTATGACCGTAGTAGGTAAGCTGTAATTCTTGGATAAATCGATCTGATGACTATCAGCCAATCCCCATCATATCCGATGCTAGTCCTGCTAAAACAGTCTCTAAGGATACTGAACCTTGGGACTCGTTCTTCCCGGTCACTGATTGTTGTTAATGTCCCTGTCCGCTGATGTACAGGCTACTTGAACATCGAATAACTTGTCTCCGTCATTCCGGCATCCTGGCCAATCTTGTCTGCGTTTTATCGAAGGAACAACCCAGCCTTTCGAAAGTCGACTTTCATACCTTATTCTAAAAATTGTTATCATTTGTTATTGTGATTGTTATCTTTTTACCATTCGATGAGATTACATCACGCAAAACAAGTTGAGCAACGGCAAATTGGTTCTCCGCCCCCAAATTGGTAATTCTTTAGTATTAAAGGCTTTAATTTTTTTAATAAAACTTTCGCCTCTAGAATCCGCCTGCAACGCTTGGCCACATCGCAGCACACTCGTACAAGCACCAACTACATAGTTTACTTCGCGGTTTGTAGAATAATAAATAAATATGTGTTATTTGTCGAAGGAGAAACTTACCTATCAGGCAAGTGGGTTGATGGAGGCTTTTATTTATAGTATGAATATGTAACCGTTCTTGCAATTTGTTTTCGCATCGTCATGTCACTTAGTGTCAGGTGTGGGCTACACGCTTAATAAGTACCATACTTGGACAAGTTTAAGTGTGCAAGGGCTGCGACATTTCTGGTGCTTAAGCCAGCCCACCTATCCATGTTGGCTTTATATGAGTTGAATTTGTCTTTTTATCCATTGAACATTACTGTCTATTCGATCCAATTCTATATCCCAGATTCTTAGCCCTGATAGATGCTGGCTCATTCCATCTGCTTGTATGTCTATGGTCTCCACTTACTAACATCAGGATATGAATAACTTACTTAAGGACTAATGTATAAATAAATCTTCTGCAATGTCATTATTTATTTTCAATACTAAGGATGCTACAAATTTGCTTTAATGGTTATAAATTTTGAATGTGCGAGTTAAAATTTGCTTGTTGAAGGAAATGCATTTTGATGTATTATTCTGCTGTCTAATAATTCTCTTTACTGTTATTAACGCTTTTACTAAAAGGCATACGAATTGCAAGTTATTTTGCTATAGATTTACCCATCTATAATTAACAATTATATAATAACAATAATTAGTTAAATACCTTTAAATTCACCAATCATTAAACGAAGACGTTTTTGCCAGTGATAAGCTCTGTAATCGAATTAAACTAGGCATTATCAAGAAACTACTTTTGCCTAAATTTGTATTAATTCGCTTTATGTCCCAGTACCATTAGTAGGGGAATAATCGCAACATGAGTGAATTGAAGAGGTATTCCATGAAAATAAGATATTTTATACATTCGCTGAATACAAACTTAATAGTTTACTTTTGAATGGAATGCTTTTATGTATGTATACAAGTACTGGCATCTAGGAACATTTTAGGGAGTAGAAAAAAATGTTTTTATTCGGAAATTTTGGATTTTAAGTATTATTTCTTTGTGCCTCTATTTTTATAGCTCCTAATTATATTTTTATGCATTATTTCTTTTTTGAGGGTATGGATGCGAATAACACCTTGATGTTCTGCTACGAGCATTCTGGTCATGTCGGATGTTTTCGGAGATATTTCCCACGCCTTGAATTTTGACGTTTGACAATTCCGACGGTCATGTCGGTGAATGTATTCGTGTTGTTTTTGAGCAAATGTATCCAAAAACTAACGTTCATAGAAAAAGTATGGTATCCAACACGTTTGGTAAATTTCTAAGTCACTTGTTTATTAAACACTCGCTTCGGTGCGCTCCGCTAGTGTCAAATACACTCGTGAGTCAAATGCCATGCACTTGTTGCCTAATATACTAATTTTCTACTCCTGTCTGTAAAATGCCTTATTACACACCGAGCTAGCGTGAGAGAAGCGTCAGTTACGTTTCCCGCGGATTCGAGCCACTTCGGACATTTCCAGAATTTTACCGCACGGATTTGGGAGCAATCCCACGCTTTGAATTCTGACCATCATGTTAGTATTCGTGTTGTTTTTTCGAAAGTGTACCCAAAAACTAACGGTCGTAGAAAAAGTATAGCATGCAACACATTCGGTAAACTTTTTAAGTCACTCGTTTATTAAACACTCGCTCCGCTCGTTTCAAATAAACTCGTGAGTCAAATACCGTTTATCGCATTTGTTAATATACTATTAAATAACGGTGGCCTGTAATACCTAATTCATTTTTTGCTAAAAAATGTTTAAGAATCTAGAAAATTATGAGCCAATTATTCAGAAACTCGAAAAAATTTTTATATATCAAACGAGTGAATCCTAATTGGCCAGCCGAACAAGTGCTTATTGACGATTTAAAGACACCATATCAAAACGATCAGCCAGAGGACTTTCCATTGGTAACAATATCGGAAGGCAGGTGTCCTCTGGTCTGACCTGAATCATGACCCAAGATCCTAGACCACGTGATTCCCGTATCGTGCCCACCCTTAAAGTGCGAGTCCTGCTGGTTCTTATTTATAAAGAGGTCTATTTTCCGTAGGCTGTGACAACATTTTCAAGGAATTAATTACTAAAAATTTAATAGTGAGTTAGGCCTCTATTTATGTTTTAACATTTTGTAACTCCTATGAATGATGTCTGTCTATCCGCTTGTTGTTGTTTCTCTCGGGACAATCTTACCTCATCTCGTAGACGTTGTACATTGATAAAATAACCGATAAGACAAGTTAGAGTAGAGTTATTCCCGCAATTTTTGGATATACAAATAGAAAAAGAAGCATTAAAACCCGCATTCGATGTTACAGAAACTGAAAGTATTTACTATGCTTAACTGGAAATACAAAACAATAAATAAAGTTTCTGTCTATAGCTTATTAAGCAACAATTCAGTACTCTGCCAACTGCCCATTCAAATAATAAAATCAATTCTTCTACAAACGAAAAATCCGAGAGTCTATAGAAATCTGTAAACAACCTAACAATCTTAACCGCGACCGGTCTTTACCTGTCGCCAATATGGGAATCAGTCAGCTAAGAAGGTGTTTATGTCCGTCATTTAGCTCCGCCTCCTTCAAACAAGATATAAGCAGGTACAGAGTAAAATGCGGGCCAGTTTCGGTCAAACAATGAAGAAGGTAGCAAGATGATTGGCGAAACGTCAGCAAGTTCGACTCAGCAAAAACCGACGCAGGGGGAATCCAGAAGTTTTGTAAAAAGTATTACAGCAGCCTGTGGAAGTTTATTTGAAAATATTCTTAAATAAATAATAAATAGCCCTATGCAAATTCTAATAAAAAACCTGTTTGGTTATTTGTCAATAAGCTTTAACAAAAATGTTATCATTTACTTCATTTGATACAGGCAATCAATCCACACCACATTGAAACTATAACTACATTAAGCTATTATCTTGATTCGGGTTTAAAGGCCGTCGTCGATTGGAATTACTTCCTAACGTTTCGCTAGCACGAGTGGCGAGCTTCTTCAGAGGTCCTTCCATCTCCGATGTTGGACGTAGACTCACAGTCTAGTAATTCCAATCGACGACGGCCTTTAAACCCGAATCAAGATAATAGCTTATCAACGGGCCGCGAAAGCCTTAACCAATTTATATAACTACATTATATTTTATGAAAAATCACGATACCCTATACCCAATCTCGAGTGCAAATAGTGCACTGCAACGACTGCAAATTATCTTCTTATAAATTACCATTCGACGGGAATACAAATAACATAATTCATCACGCATACGTCCACAGCTCAGCTGGAAATAAAAAGAAGTTGAGCAACGTTCCCATTGCAGCGCATTCTCAAGTAGAAACGTAATTTGGTAAATTGGTTCCCCGTTCCCAAGTTGGCAATTCTTTAGTTTAAAGGCTTTTAATTTTTTTATAAGATTTTCGTCTCTCGAATCCGCCCGCGACGCTTAGAAACAGACAAATTTTGGCATTAAAGCTGAACAATCTCCCGAGCACCAACTACATGGTTTACTTGGCGTCTTGTAGAATTTTTGACGCACCCTAAATATGCGCTATTTGTCGAAGCGGAAACTTACCTATATGATAAGTGGGTTGGTGGAGGCAGGCTTTTATTTAAAGTACGAGTATGTAAACATTGTTGCAATTTGCTCTATGGTAGGAGACTTTCAATGAGGTTTGAAAAACCGATTAAAGAAATAGCTAAAAGTATTTATAACAAATCAACTACGCAGCTTTGCGTCGCATTTTGCAATTTAATTTCACGTCGTCATACCGTTTAGTGTCAGGGGTGGCGACACGGACACAGTTTGTCAACCGCAAGCGTAAAATGCTTTGTAACATTTTGTCCAAGAGCTGCCTCATCGGAAATTGATGTGATTCAAATCTGCAAAAATAGCCCACTTGTCCCTGTTTCCTTTTTGTGTCCTGAATAAGTCACAGTATGGTCTATCAATTCCATTTAATATGCCAGCATCTTAGAAGTATCTTCCATTCTGAAACCTTGATAGATACCCGCTCCAGTCTTCCGCTTGCAGGTCTATGAGCGTCGCGCTTACCAACACCGGGATCTAGATATGAATAGGACACGCATATTTCTGTCCGGTTAATACAAGGGTAGATCTTGACTTGACAGATAAATCTTCTACAATGCAATATTTATTTTCATTACTGAGCAAATTTTAAAAATTATAAAATATGCTCTCATGGTTATAAATGGTGAACGTCAGAGATGCTGTTATTCCTTGTAGCTGTTCATCATGATACTTACATATGAATAAGATGTCTTAATAATCTGTAAATTAAAATAAGTATGTTTAACGGTTAGTAATTCTTTATTACGTTGATGCATTATTCTGCTGCCTATGTAACAATTATTTTGTCTACTGATTTTAGCACTTTTAGTAAAGGGGAATATGGTGTAAATGACAAAACGTATTCTCGCAATGTGAAGTTGTTGTGCTATGGATTTACCCATGTATAACAATATAAATATAAATGATGTACAAAGATGTTATTTATATAATATAATAAGAATTATTAGTTAATTACCTTTAAAGATGAATCGATCGTCATAGCAAAAGGGCCTATCGTCAAACCAAGAGGTTTTTGAGCTCGAATTAACATAGTGAATAACATTTTCTTCGTTGTTTCGTTTTGTTCGTACCAGCGACATTCGTAAAGGGCATCTGCCAGTGACGAGCTCTGTAATCGAAATTAGATCTGACTAGGCATAATGAAGAAACGAGTTTTACCTGAATTTGTATTTCATTGGCGCTATATCCCAATACCATAATAAGCGTAAATATGACCCCGAATGCCAGCACCGGAGACATGCTGCGTTTCGACTACAATAGCAAGCAATAGTTAGTGAAATTGAAGAGGTTAGATCTGCGTGGTTACCGTTAGTAGCGGAATAATCGCAAGGGTAGCCAACGTGAGCGAATTTAAGAGGTATTCCATGAAAATAAGGTATTTTATACATTCGTTTAAGTTTTTGGTTGCCCTGAAAGAAAACGGTTATTTTGAAAATGAAATAAATAGTTAATTGATATTTTGGATATTTCGGCTAATGATTCATAACACAGTATCTGACGAAATTTATAAACGTGTCCTATACTCTTTCTACGACAATTAGATTTCGGATACATTTTTGCAAAACAGCACGAATACATTCACGGAGTGACAGGATCTTCAGAATTGATACACGTGAAAATTTGTTGATTCGGAAATTTTAAATTTTAAATCTGTTACTTTTTTACATTTTTAAAGAGGGTGTGAAAACTAGATCTTCTGTATTGTTTGCACAGCACTACATGAAAATATAATTTTATGCATCATTTCTTCTTTGAGGGTGTCAACATGTATGAAGGTAGGCCCGATGTTCCAACTAGCTTACCGAATAACGTCTTGATGTTCTACTACGAGCATTTTTGTTATTTCCAATGCCTTCTCTTGTTGATTCATACTTTTCTCGAATTTGATTTGCAGGATGCTCAACGCAGAAGAGATAAAAATAATGCTGGTCATAAACAGCATTCTTGTAGAGGCAACCACCGAACTGTTAATAAGCACGAAGAGGCAATTCATGACCAATAAAAACAATGAGTGTTTCTCTTTGTCGAGATTGAAGTAATACAGTTCGTAGAAGAACGGCTTCTCCATGCTCTCATTATGTTGCCGATTGTACTTGTCAATTTCAAATCGGGCAGTTAAGTTTTCCGAAGTCATACCTACAGCCGCGTTGGACATGAACGCGATAACAGCTATGTTAAACTTTCGGCAGAATTTCAATGTTTCGGAATAGCATTGGTGGATATCCGGATCATCCGTTTCCCCAATTTTTTGTTCTTCTTCTTGCACGTACGTTATAAATTGCACCACCTTGGTTCTCTGGCACAGTATAGCTGCGAATACTGCGATCGACAAAGAAACGACGTAGCCGAAATATTTAAACAAGTCTTGCGGGTTCTTTTTTGAAAACTCCGTGGTCATTGTTAATCCGAATCGGATGTACATCGAGACTAAAAATGTCGGCAGGTATATCTTTACGAGCATTGAATAAACTTTATAAATGGCGTTAAGAATACGATTTTGCGTGGGCAAGGCTAAAGTCCATATTCCTCCCAAAATCATGCAATATTTCGGAATACTCAGCACAGAATTGGCGACGTCCTCTGGACAAGCAACCATTATTTATTAAGTGAATTTTTGCCACCGAAAAAATCTAAAATGTCGACATTCGGGTAAAAGCTCGGGTTGGGCTCACGAAACGAACTCATTTGAACCACATTACGATGTTAGAAATATCGCGCTTTAAAAACTGGAAAATGCTATTTTATTCAAACGGTTCTGGCGAAAATACGCATTCTGCCTTGTAATTATTGGACGATGTTTCCGTGGGATATTTCCGAGTGTTTTATTAGTTGTCCTATCATTATGAAAATGACACGAGAACGTACGCGGTTTTGTTGTTGTTTGAGAATAACGTGCTTTTTCAGCGGTAGCCACAAAAGGATATTTTGATGTTCCGCGCGGAAATTTACTTTTAGATTCTAATTAATTATTAGTCCCAATTTGTTTTGCGTTTTATAGTATAGATACATAAACTGAATCAAATTAAATACTCCCGTTTCGCTTATTGCAGGGGTTTGATTGAAGTGCTCTTATGTGGAATAATGTTACAACCAAATTCTTTCAAATTCCTGGTTTTGTATGGATTTTTGCCACTGCTAGTTCCCACTAACTTCTTCGAGATGCTATTTGTAACAGAGAAGCAAGTACAAATTTAAGGTAAAATTAATATATTTTATAAAACAGTAAGAATGCTCAATATTTATCCATGGTTTGCTCAAGAAATTATTAGAATCCAAAATCTCCAGAGACAACTTATAACAGTTTCTATGTAACTATTTTCTATTAGAAATTTATTTTTAAAAATTGAGGACAATAAATAATTTTATTAACATTTAGCTAATTTATCAATCAACTATTTCATCAATTATTCTTGTGCCTAAAATATATTACTAAAATGGTTTTGCTTTTTTTCATATCAAACATGATTTGTAATGTTGAATAAATTATTTGTTCCTTATACAGGGTTGTATACAAGTTATTTTAGAAATTAAAAATTGAACGTTTAACAATTAAAAAGAGTAAAACAAATGCTAACAACTTATCTTCAGTATTATATTATTTATTTTTAAATTATTCTAACTTACAACAATAACAAACTGATTGCCATTTTGTCAAATGTTTTCTTGTTGTATAAAAATAGAAAGATCGCGATCAACTAATTAAAAACTAACAATTCTGCCTGTTTTTGATATTTCCTTTGCCGTTTTTATGGGATTAAATGTGAGCATGTTAAAATAACTGTTTTGAAGTATATATTATTGAAAGGCCTATATTATTCTCAGCTTCAATTAAAATGAAATTTAATTAACATTTATTAGCTCTTATACAACATAGAAAATATACAGGGGTTACTTTAAGATGCAGCAATTTTAAAAATGCCCTGTATATCTAAAAAGAGAAATGCCCTCTATAAACTACAAATAAATTATTCAGTTCCTATTCGTAGAAACAAAACCCTCCTATTAGCCATTTCTACTTGCGTCCTGACAGCAGCCCATTTTCCGCCTATTTCTCTTCCGACGGAGGTTAACTGGGAACGGAGATACCGCACTAATAGAGATAGCATGCTATCTATCAGGATCGCAATTGAACTAAATAATCATTAATCCCGTTTAAAAGAAATATTACGTTTAATGCCCTTTGACGTTTGCTTTCTCCATTAGGGCGGCGTTTTATTAATTATCCCCCAAATATCAAGTCGGTAGTGTCATCGAGAATGGACGGTATTTTTGCCGCCTCTGCACCGTTTTTTCGAAAAAGACGGGAAGATTGAGTATCGATAGACGAGCGTTGTCGTGGTCTATTAATCAATTCGGGTTTATTGCTTACTTTTGGCAAATATTCGATGCAAGAAATTAAGCTGCGACGATTTTTGTAACCGATGGTAACCCAGACACTATTGTGTGTATTTAATTGATTTTATTAAATGGATGTTAAATTATTATATGGCTCTAAAAAAGTACCTCAAGTTTTCCGCGAAAAGCACATAAAGTATAATTTTGTAAACCTTCATTTATTTTCTTAATTCGAGCTTCGAATATAAAAGAGATTTGTGTAGTCCCTCTCAGATATTTTTATTGATTTGCTATGTAATTTTAATTTTAATATATACCTTAGTCCTGAAATCTTCGTCAATAAATTAACTAATAAAATAAGCCTTTCCTTGGTAGGACTGCAAATTATTTTGATTATAATATTGTAATATAATGGATGTTACTTTGTTATACACAAAATGTTAAATAGGATATTTAAGTAACCTACATATAGGATTAGAAAAAGGTATCGCAAAGCTTAAATATTTCTAAAACTACTCAAACTGAAACATGTCATTATTTTGTAATGTTAAATGGGAATGTCCTATTTATTTTTGTTGCCATGAATTACGAATTGTCGAATTTACGAAATTTTGTTTCTATTTATTACTGAGCTACAGCAACACCGGTCTTTCAGTAAAAAGTACTGGATCGCTTAAATATCTCAAAAACTCTTCAAGCTAAAATGATAAAATTCAATATCTAGGGGTTGCTAATACTAACGGCAATGTTGTTAGATTTTCCACTTTTACATTACATGTCATAACCTTGTTATATTAAATGAATTGTGCATGTCGAATTTGGTAAAGCCTCATCATTTTAAAATTTTGTTTCTTGTACTGAACTAGGGCAACGCTACTTCCTCAGTAAAAAGGAATAGAAACCTTAAATAATATCTCCAAAACTGGAACGGTAAAATTCGCTAAGTGGGAGTTTTGAACATGCAAAAATATAAAACGCTAACAGCGGTGTTGTCAGATTTACCTTTATTCTTAACATCACAGAATTTTGGAGGTTTTTGAACCTAGAAGATTTTAGAAGTGCGTCGACTGAAGGTTACCAGAATTATTTTTTTAGTTTATTTTTTTTATTTATTAGTTTTCGAGACCAATCCATAAGGCAGGTGATATCAATGCCTTTGTTCGGAAAAGTTTTTGAGATCTTACTAAAAGATCAGTTAACTTCTTATATTAATAAGATCGAATGTCTTTGTGCTGGTCAGTTTGGATTTAGGGGAGGATGTTCGACGATCCAAGCAGTGTCTAAAGTTGTGAGTGGGATAGTTGAGGGCCTCGAGGGGGGTGAATTAGTTGGTTTGACCTTGAGTAATCTCTCCAGGGTCTTCGATTGTGTTTCTCACCAGCTTCTTATTAAAAAGCTATACAGATATGGTATACGAGGTCTGCCCTTAGATCTTATAGCGTCCTACTTGCAGGGCCGACAGCAGTTTGTAGAATACTAGGATGACTGTTCATCACTTGAATCAGTAGTAAGCGGGGTGCCTTAGGGTTCCGTCCTGGGCCCGCTACTATTTACAATATACATAAATGACCTTTATCATTTCATGGCCCCCAATCAATGCGTGATGTTTGCGACGATACATCCTTCACTACATCTGCTAAGAGTATCGAGGAGTTGTCCGTTAGGGTTGGCATGTTGGAGGACAGGGCTAATGTCTGGTTGGAAAATAATTATCTTAAATTAAATTTAGACAAGACCCAGAGTATTGTGTTTTCCTCCAATTGCTTGGTAAATAGTGGACAGTCCGTCAAGTTGCTTAGCATTAGGATCGATGATAGTCTAAAATGGAAACAACATATCTCAGACCTGAAAAATAGATTGTCCAGCAACATATTCGTTCTTCGACGACTGAGAGGCCTGATAGGAACAAGGACTCTGCTTATGGTCTATTTTTCTATGTTGCATTCACACTTATACTATGGCGCGGTACTGTGGGGTGATTCCTCAGCTGCCGTGGAGATTTTTAGAATGCAGAAAAGGGCCATTCGAATCGTTGCTAATATAGGATATAGGGACCATTGTCAACCTTATTTTAAAAAATTCAAAGTGATGCCCCTTCCTTGCATCTATATCTACTACCAGTTATTAGAGATACAGAGAACGAAAATAAACTTTAGCGCTAATTCCGATTGCCATGCCTGTTCAACTCGTTCGGGGGATCTCCTTAGACGGCCTAGGTTTAGACTGAGGAAGTCTGAGAACAACTCATTGAACCTGAAATTGTATAATGTTTTGCCAGGTACCGTGAAAAAGATGAGCAATAGAAAATTTAAACATACTATCAAAGAATTTCTACAACGTCATTGTTTTTACTCCCTGCGAGCATACATTGACACTGTCACTGGTATCGATGCGCTATAAAACTGTATAGTACTGTCTAATTTTGTTTGTATTAGATGTGTGTCTTTATGTTATTTATTAATTTGATTTTATTGCACTTGAATATCACTTCTGACTTGCTACAATTGTACGTCCCTTTTGTACAAAACGTAGTCAATAAATGAATCTATCTATCTATAAATATAATCGCGACAATATTACCGCTAGTATTTTTGAATTCTGTTTGTACTAAAAAAATGAAATTATGAGACCTTACTAAATTTGACATGCGAAATTCATTGCTAATATTGTCGTTAGCATTGTTGAATTCTGCATGTTCAAGAACACCCACTAATTGAATTTTATCGTTACAGCTTTGGCAGTTTGAGATATATTTAAGCGTTCCGGTACTTTTTACTAACCCTGCATGTATTCAAATTCGGTCCAAAACTAATTATTTCTAATTGTATAAAATCATAACGATCTTGTACTATAATTAAGAGTGTACTAGAGTTTTCCTCAGAAACATATTTTAGGACTTGCTGGTAGAAAAGAAATAAGAGTGAAACACACACTTGTGTTAAAACTCTCTCACTATTCTCGTAAAAATAATATTAAGAAAAAAGGCCACTACTACTACTAGTCTATACTATATTACGGATGTTCTTTTTATTTGCATTTTTTGTTTCCAAAAACTGATTATGAATGGAAATAGAAGCTTTTTTTAACTTTACTTGTATTGAAACTAACCAACTAGATTGTCGGTTACATCTATGATGCGAATGAGAGTTTTAGCTAGAAATTTTAGTTTATTAGTTCTTAATTCTAAAAATTGTCGAGGTTTTCCTATGAAAAAAGTAATCTGGAAATTTAAATGCAAGGAAACTAACCAAAAGAAAATATCTAGGTGATTTGTTATTTGACAGAACATAATAAAATTGTTCAATCTTCTCAAACGCCTTTGACAGTTTCGTTCCACTACACTGACGTCACATTT